GTGAAGTCTGCCATCTCTAACTGCCTTGTGTGTGTGGGTAAGGGGGTGAAGTCTGCCATCTCTGACTGCCTTGTGTGTATGGGTAAGGGGGTGAAGTCTGCCATCCCTGACTTGTCTGTTCTTGCTTTGTTTTTCAGATTACAACAAGCGTTACAGCAGAATTGTAGTCCGTAGCGGCCCCCGTCTCAGTGCTGTGTGTTTTTCCTTTGTCCTGTAGGTTACAACAAGCGTTGCAGCAGATTTGTAGTCCATAGCGCCCCCCGTCTCAGTGCTGTGTATCTTTCCTTTGTCCTGTAGGTTACAACAAGCGTTACAACAGATTTGTAGTCCGTAGCGGCCCCCGTCTCAGTGCTGTGTGTTTATCCTTTGTCCTGTAGGTTACAACAAGCGTTGCAGCAGATTTGTAGTCCGTAGCGCCCCCCGTCTCAGTGCTGTGTATCTTTCCTGTCCTGTAGGTTACAACAAGCGTTACAGCAGATTTGTAGTCCGTAGCGGCCCCCGTCTCAGTGCTGTGTGTTTATCCTTTGTCCTGTAGGTTACAACAAGCGTTGCAGCAGATTTGTAGTCCGTAGCGCCCCCCGTCTCAGTGCTGTGTATCTTTCCTGTCCTGTAGGTTACAACAAGCGTTACAGCAGATTTGTAGTCCGTAGCATCCCCCGTCTCAGTGCTGTGTATCTTTTCTTTGTCCTGTAGGTTACAACAAGCGTTACAGCAGAATTGTAGTCCGTAGCGTCCCCCGTCTTGTAGCAAAGTTGTGGCGTTCACCCCTGAAGTCATCATTCTGCCCCTGACCGAGAAAAAACAATCCCAGAAGCCTCCTCTGGAATACTTCATCTCGGACTCCGGCGACGTTCTGTACCTGGTAACCGACGGCAACCACCTGGTAACCGGGGGCAACCACCCAGTCGCCATGATGAACCGTGACCCGACCATGTCCAGCCTCTCGGACATCGACGAAGTCGCGCCAAAACCTTCCGACATCGAGGTAAGTTTTCCTGATTTTTTTGTTTTTGCTCAGTTTCTTCCTCTTCTTCTTCTCCAAACAGTGATCTCTGACCTGGCCAATGACATAATTTATTGACGTCTGTCAACATGGTGACTGGTGTTGGGTTACATAATGTTGGGTTACATAATGTTATTGGTGTTGGGTTACATAATCTTATTGTTTAGGCCTAGGAAAAAAGGCAGAATAAATATTTTTTTCTGCAGGTGTTTGCCGGTAACTCAACCTTCCATGGCATCAACCATGTCTTCACAAACGGCCGTTGCAGCATTCGCCGGATCCTCTGGGGTCTGGCCTTCCTCACATCGTTCGGCCTTCTCGTAAACCAAGGTAGAGAGAGAGAGAGAAAGAGTGAGAGAGAGAAAGAGAGAGGATGGTTTGCTCAATAGAAGAAAACCCTTGCAGAACCAGTGCTGAATTGCAGCAGCTAGCTATATCGCACCAAACGCCTTGTCACACCCAATCTTTGCACATTTAATTGCAGGAGTTGTTAAAGCTTTCTAGCAATGATGCCCCAACTGTGCTTGGTGGCAACGAGTTTCACTCTACGATTATCATAGTTCTGGGGAAATACAAGTTTTACTGTTGTCATGAAAGTTCATCTGTGTTGGTAGTTACATTGTTGAGGGCCTGCAAGGGGGGGTAGTGATTACGAATTACGCAAAATTTTCGCCGCCAATTACGAATTACGTTAAAGTCTCACAGCTGATTACGACTTTACGCTTTGCGGCTAATGTCCAATTACGAATTACGTTGATTTTTGCGGAGGCTGCCTACAAATTACGAAGCCTAAAATGGCCTGATTACGCCTTACGAAAAAGGGCTTGCAGGCCCTCATTATTTAAAGCTAAAACTTTAGGTCCAACACAAAGAAGTTCTCTCACCCAGAGCTTTGGACCAGCCACTCTGGTCTTCCTCAGTAGACTGACCCAGTGAAGCTTGTCACATGGTTTCTCAGACGCCATGTGACAAGCTTCACTGGGTCAGTTCAACTTTTTGTGTTGGACCAAAAGTTTTAACTTTAAACGAGTATTACTGTTAATGACCTTTTTCACAGCTGTTTGATCTGTTTTGCCAGGTGTGGACCGAGTGCTGTACTTTTTCCAGTATCCGCATGTCACCAAGCTGGATGAACTGGAAGCACAGATGATGTCGTTTCCAGCCATCACTATCTGTAATCTCAACCCCTTCCGGTGCGTTGATTTGTTTTCTTAGTGAAGGTTAGGCATCCAGGTAATAAGATATGCCAAAAAAACAGTTACTCAAGCAACTGGATATGTTGTTGGAAACGGTCAGACATTTCAGGTAGCACCCACTACCTTTTGACAGTGACACTGGCATTGGAAACTTGTTTAAAAGCCTGTTTGTTTATTTGTGTGTTTGTTTTATCTCAAGATGGCTGGGTTAGACTAAGCCCCATTCAGCTTGCAAAGCTGTTTTCTGAGGGGGCGCAGTATCTTACAAGACATAGTGAAACAAAGGAAAATAACATTTTTTTGCATGACCAGTATAACACCAGTAAACTGCATTTGATATATTTGATTTATTTATTCTATATGCACACGTTAACATCAAAGTAGTTACATAAATAGCAAGTACCAATGTTTTAAAATTACAAACCTCAAGACCACCTTGCCTGCTAGGGAATCGAACCCAGAACCTTCAGATTCTGATTCACCTTTATTTCCCAGGTTCTCGCAGATCACAAAGAATGATCTGTACCACATGGGTCACGCCTTCGAGATGCTGAAACCGGACAAGACACTCGCACACAGTAACTACATCGATCCAGAACATCTAAGAACACTCAAGATGCTCTCAGACTTCGATAACAACTTTACACCTACCAAGTGAGTCTCGGATATTTCCAACCATGTCTTAGGCATTTACTTGCAACTTGTTAAAGACACTCACACACGGCAATTACATCTATTCAGCATTATTTCAGCATGGAGTTTTTGACCAAGCTGGTAGCTAGATTGCAGAAATACAGCTGTTGTTGTTTATGTTGTTGTTTATGCTGTTGTGTATGTTGTTTATGTTGTTGTTTATGTTAATGGTTTTGTTTATGTTGTTAATGTTGTCTATGTTGCTTATGTTCTTTATGTTGTTTTTTATGTTGTATATGTTGTTGTTTATGTTAATGTTGTTTATGTTAATGTTGTTTATATAGTTGTTTATGTTTATTGTTGTTTACTTGCAGGAGTTTCAGCATGAAGGAGTTCTACGTCCGAGCCGTGATCCAGATTGATGAAATGCTGTCATCATTGTTTATTATACAGTTGTTTATGTTGTCATTTTTGTTTATATCATTGTTGTTATTATTATTGTTGTTATTAAGATAAAAAAACCCACTCATTATGCAGAATGTGGGACTATTCATTATCCACTGCCTTCAAAGAAGAAGTCGAACCCCATAATAGCTAGCGTAGTAGTAGAAGTAGAAGTTTTTTTCCAGACAGTTGTTACCTGTCTCCTGTTACTGTATTGCAATGAGTATTATACTTGATTGTAAAAGCAATTAGCCTTCGGGCATGATTTTGCAAATAAAGTTTCTATATATATGATTATTATTTACCTGCCGGAGTTTCAGCATGATGGAGTTCTACGACCGAGCCGGGATCCAGATAGATGAAATGTTGCTGAAGTTGTTTACATTATTGTTATCATTGTTTATGTTATTGTTCATGTTTACATCGTTGTTGTTATTGCTGTTTACAGGAGCTTCAGCATGAAGGAGTTCTATGACCGAGCCGGGATCCAGATAGATGAAATGCTGCTGTTATTGTTTATTATACAGTGTTGTTTATGTTGTTGTTTATGTTTATTTGTTGTTGTTTACAGGAGTTTCAGCATGACGGAGTTCTACGACCGAGCCAGGATCCAGATTGATGAAATGTTGCTGTTTACATTATTGTTATTTTTGTTTATGTAAACAACAACAGTTGTTGTTATTATTTATTTATTTATGTTGTTGTTTACAGGAGTTTCAGCATGACGGAGTTCTACGACCGAGCCGGGATCCAGATAGATGAAATGCTGCTGAAGTGCAGTTATCGGGGAGAAGACAACTGCGGGCCCAGAAACTTCTCAACCGTGAGTTTGTTTGTTTGTTTGTTTATACCAATAGTGTACTTAAGGAACATACCACATTGTTTCTTTATTGTTTCTCCCAACTACAGACACACACATTGACAGGTATAGGCACAGATGTGCTCTCCCTTAAATTACGTGAGTTTGTCACAACAATATTTCCTTAGATAACTATGGGCAATATTTCCTCACATAACTATGGACAATAAACTATGATATCAACTGTATACTACATTGCATACATTGTGTCTTATAATGGCAGCCAAGGAGGTTGGTACACTACAATGTGTTAAAATTGCTTCAAACACACAGTCAGCATTTAGCATCTACACAGCTCAACATTTTTCATTTTGCCTTCAAATTCCTGGAATGTGTATGTCCTAGGGTTGTCTTGCAATAAGAGCAGGACCATTACTGTTAACTGTAGTGTAATATCTGTACCTCAGGAGGTTAGAACTGTAATGTTCAGAGTTAGAAGTGGCTTTAGGGCAGGGAACAGTAATGATATTACTCCTGCCCTGCTACTGACATTCAGTGCCTTCAGTTCTTGGAATCTGTATGTCCTTTGGGGGTCTTTGGGTTGGTATTACAATAATGGGAGCCCGCAAGCCCTTTTCCGTATAGCATAATCGTCCATTTCAATTCTACATAGTGCGTAGACGGACCGCTCTAATTCAACATAGAGCGTAATCGGCGCATTTTGCATAGAGCATATTCGCCAGTTTAATTCTACGTAATGCGTTATAGCCGCTAGTCTTGGAATTTATCGTAAAGCGTAATTGAGAGGTTTCCGAATTCAGCATAAAGCGTTGTCGGGACCCCCCCCATGCAGGCCCTCATTTGGGAGTCTTTTGGTCACTATTACAATTATAATGGTCCAGGACCATCACTGTTAACTGTAGTGTATAATATCTCGGGAGGTTTGAACCAAACTAGATAGTGCAGTAATGTGATGAGTAAGAAGCAGTGCAGTGCAGTTAAGTAGTGATATTATTCCTGCCCTGCCACTAACACCGTGCCTTCAGTTCCTAGAATCTGGAATCCTATGGGAGTCCTTGGGTTGGAACAACATGTAGTTTAAAAACAGCAGGACCATCACTATTAGCATGATTCTGATATCTCAAGAGGTTATAACTGTTATAGTACTGTGATGTTAACTTTAAAGATTTAGAAGCACTGCAGTGCAGTTAACAGTAGTGATATCACTCCTGCCCTGCCACTAATATTGTGTTGTGTGTTTGGAATCCAGGAAGACTAGTTGCTTTTGCAGTCCCCTTTGCAACTAATGGATATCCTTATAAAGTATCAAGTATCACCCTTGCCCTGCCACTGACATTGTGCCTTCAATTCTTGGAACCAGTATGTCCTATGGGAGTCCTTAGGTTGGTACAACATGCATTGCAATAATGGTAGGACCATCAGTATTAACTGTCTGATATCTCAGGAGGTTCGGGCTGGGATTGCAGTGACAATGAACTTAAGCTAGGACTACAAAATTCCTGGAACCCCACAGTTCCTGGAATCTGTGCATCCTTGGGGAGTCTAGATCTATGGGCTGAAATCGCAATAACAGTAGCAACAGCAGGACCTTAACTATGAACATCAATCTTCTCAAGTCCTCCTCCCTCTAGAGTGTGATATCTCCATTGAAGAACATGTAGTGCCTGTCCTTGGTGCTGAACTCCTGTACAAGAACATGTGGACTACACAAATCCTGCAATCTATAAGCTGGTATCACAATAACAGTAGCAATAGCAGGACCTTCACTATCAACATCAATCATCTCTAGCTCCTAGTCCCAGGCTCTGTCCTCCTTCCCTCTAGAGTGTAATATCTTAGTGCCTGTCCTTGGTGCTGAACCCCTGTACAACAATATGTGGACTACACAAATCCTGGAATCTGTGTGTGTCTGGCAAGTCTAGATCTATGGGCTGGTATTGCAATAACAGCAGGGCTATCCACTATATGGCAATAACAGCAGGGCATTCACTATGAACATCAATCTTCTGTCAAGTCCCAGACTCTGTCCTCCTCCCTTCTGTAGTGTGATTTCTCCGGTTAGAGTGTTGTTACAAAAGTGCTGATATATTTTTAAATGTGCAAAGATTGAGTGTAACAAGTAGTTTGGTGAAATGTAGCTAGCTGCCACTGCCTCCTTGTGTATTATGATATAGTGTGGTTATAAGTTGTACATATGAGCCATGGTGCATTAGCTGGGTTAGGTATGTGTTAAGTTTTGGGCTGGACAGGCTGAGAGGTTTGCTGAATCTCCCAGTGATTTCAGACCAGTGTAGCCTGTATATAAACAGTGGTGCATTGCAGGTCTATCTGGGTTAGAGATGAGTTTCTAGCCTCTCAGTTGCCCCTCTAAGCTGTGGTGCATTGCAGGTCTGGCTCTCTGCCATGTGGACTGGCCAGTCCCAATAACTGCAGGGAAGTTAATAGAGACTGATGTGTTCTCACAGACACAGCTGTGAGGTGGGCAAAAGGCAGTAATATTGGGCTGCAAATGCTCCTGTAGAAAATTACTTCAATAGGACATTACTACTTCAGTATCCATTCACTTGACATGTAGAGAGTTACATAATATGTCATGAAGGTTAGACATCCAGGTAATAAGATTCGCCAAAAAGGAGTTACTCAAGCAACTGGATATGATTTTGGAAATGGTCAGACCTTTCAGCAAGTATCCACTAGCTTTCCTCAGTGACTGAGAGACCAGAGGAGAAATGCAGGTTTATAAGCAGTTACATAATGTTTGGCATGCTTTAAGAGTGCATCATTCATACTGGTACCATTCAAGAAATTCAACACCTACTAACTAAAAAAATTTTCTTCCTAGCAAAATGGGTGTCAAGTGTAATTTCTCAGTTGTAAGAGGGAACATGCCAACAAAATTCATTCATTCATAATTCATTCCATTCATTCATTCATAACATGGAGAAGCCTTTAAGTTACTATTGCAAGGCCTGCTCAGAACTGCCCCCTAGTGAATCATGTTGGTACTGCAGTGTGATGAAACAGTCTCAGCCTTGGATAATTTTCTGACTGAAGTTATGTCCACCAGTAAGGTAGTTTTAGTGCTTTTTTTTTATTATAATTGTTTATTGATTGATCAGTAAGTACAATCGCTAGCACGTGGCAGCGCAACTAAAAAAAGTAGCTCTGAATTGCATGCTAGTGTTTAAAAACAGAGAGACAAATATTGCACAGTTACGAGTAACAAATAGACAACTTAAACAAGTGAGTATTTCACAGTTAATAATAAACATATAGGCAACTAAAAAAGAGCGTAAAATGAACTTATACTAAAACAATATTCACAATATCAACCAATAAGTAATCAATATCATCAGTGTAAAAAATATTAATCTTATAGTATGTTACATAAAAACTAATTTTGATTTTGTATTTTGTGCATGACAGTACTATGGACAGGACATTCAAGATAAATATTGAAATCCTTAAATTATATAGTCTCCATGTATAAGCGGTGGTTAATTTAGTCTTTCCTACAACTATTGCTGAGTGGAACTCGGTGCCACCAAGTACAGTAGGGGCATTGTCAATAGATAAACAGCGTAAGGCCACACCGCCTTAATTTTATGGATGACATCTGCACGCACATTGATTTTCGCCTGTTCTAAAAAAAAAAAGATTACGTCCTCCGAGGCTCTGGTCTGGCGCTAGGCCTGGGTAGTCCATTTTAGCTAGCTACAATACGGAGCCGGTGGTAACTCTGGAGGACGGCACCCAGGCTACCGAAGCTCCACGACTCAACTTGAACTCAGTACATACGTACAGTGCTGATTCATAAATTCCACAAAACGCCAGCACGTGTTGGGTCTTCGGATACGTCGCTAAGTACTGTCGTAAATTCACAATACCAGCTCTGTATTCCTATGGTTTAGTAGCATTCTATTTTTTATTTTTGGCCGGAATCATTTTTTATTCACCCTCGCGCAGAAGTTTGGGGGTCTTCAGAGGATGTCATCCATAAAATTAAGTCGGTGTAGCCTAATCCATAATTAAAAGTACTCCATGATTTAACGTAATTTGTAATCTTCGGTGAAAATTTTGCAGGCACTCTTGTATATCTGCACAGTTTATGCAGAGCTTGTCCTTACTATAAGTCTCCCTCCCTCCCAGACACCCTATTGATATTCCTGAGGTCAGACTTTCCTCAGCCAAGACTTTATTGAACAGGGGCACAGTTGAGTAATCCTGAGTTCTGGGTGGTTGGACAAAACCTATAGGACCACCAGGGCTAGGCTGGAATAACATTAATAAACATTCACTCAGAATTTGCATTTGATTTGAATGAATTTTGAACTTTAAATCATTGATAGCATTGTGCATTGATAAATTGAAAAACTTAGGAAGAAAAGGACATTCCTCAACTGTTGAGGGCAAAATATGAGCATTTTTGAGTTGATACAGAACCAGAATCATTTTATTTTGTAAATCAGAAAAAAAATGAAGAGGTGAATCCAAGAAGCAACAAAGCAAAAAATTGGTGTGGTCTAAAATGTTCCAGAACCAAGGAAATAGATTATGCTGCCTAAAGTATGAAGGAAATAAGTGTAGAAGTATCAGCAAACGTTGGTTGGGGAGTAATTTTTCAGGACAAGTCAGGCTGAAAATTACTCTCCTAAAGTCGCTGCCGTCTTTGTATCTGAATGACGCATGTGAAATCCATGCCCATTATTCAGAATTTTCCCTCAGCCAAAAGGAACTTGGTATTAAGTACAGAAATGTGTAGACTTAATTACATTTTTTTTCAATCCAATTTTAACATCATTTTCCTCCAAATCGGGGGTTAGACGTGCTTGCATCAAATGCAAGAAGCAAGATTTTTATGGCTGGATGCTCTTCCTAACGCCAACCCAAACCCTAGTAGGGCCCAAAATCCCTCTAACTGAAGGGGGAAATGTGTGTTAAGTGCCTTTCCCATGCAAGGGCACAACATCTGGGTGCCTGAACTAAATAACCAACTAAATAAAATAGATTTTGTCAAGAACTATAATGATAAGGCCACACCAATTTGACTTGTTGGCTATCAGATTTTTTAAAAATATGGTTAACTAGAAAAATCTAATGAAAGCAAAGTCATATTCTAGTTTTCTTCCTAGCCCTCTCATTTTATGATGTCCGCTTGCTATCTTTTGAACTAAAAATGTCCGAGAACCAACAAAATGAATTGGTGTGGCCTAAGAACTATAATGAACTGCTGACATACAAGCATTCTCCAATCCTGTTACAAGTTTTACAGGGAACCCATCCAGAAAATATTCCCCTATCAGGCGTGTAGCAGGACTTTACTGGTTAATAGTTTCCCTATAGCTGCCCTATAAACGTTAAACTGGCCCCAACGGCACATCATTCCACTCTTAAACCTCCAATTCCGTCAGCCAAAACTCCATGGATTTTTCTTCAATTGGGCCTGGGGGAAAGATTGGCGGAATTACTGGGTACAATGAGACGCGGAGAAACTCGGAATGTTTTCAAGTTTCCGTGACCTCTACGCGGGTTCGACCTTGGCGCAATCATCGTTCGTTAACGCGCACGGAAAAGTTCACGTCCGTAAAAGCAGCGCGCCGTTAAATCTCGCGGCGTCGCGGACGGTGGAAAATTCCGCGGACGGAATCTGATCGGGACCGGCGACCATGAAATTGGAATTGAATTTTTTATTGGTTTTATTGTGGTCGGAATGTCAATAACACGTCGCGATGTCGGCATGGCGACACGCTTGGGAGGAACCTGGCCGATTGGAAGGACTTTGTTCAAGGTTATTCTTCCTTCTTGGATCTTAAGGAACGATGCTTAGGCCTTAACAATGCAGTTTCTTGGTTAACATAATGGATTAAACTATATTGTATACTATTAGGCACATGCCAATGCAAACACAAGCCCAAACCGATTGGAAGGACTTTGTTCAAGGTTATTTTTCCTTCGTGGATCTTAAGAAATGAGCTTTGGCTGAAACAATGCAGTTTCTTGGTTCTTGGCACAGATCATTACAAAAATATTTTGTGCTTGAAGAAAAATTAGGATTAGGATGAAAAGGACTGTTTTAAACTGCTCAAGGCAAAATGAGCATTTTACAGTTGATTCTGAATTTTTTTTTCAAATCAGAAAAAAATGAAGCGGACAAATCCGTTAACCAAGAAATTAAATTGATGTGGCCTGAGCTTTCATTCAAAATCAAATTGCTGTGGCCTTGTATTTACAATGTAATTCAGCCAGAGGATTAACTGAACTCAGGATAAACTAATTCCCGAGAATCTTGAAAGGCATTGAAAAGAGAATTGGGAATCTTGGCATTGAAAAGGGAATTGGGATCAGAATTTAGAAGGAAATGAGCAGGGAAATTGGAAAAACTTGCACCACCAAGGAAGCATGTCTGTTCATCTATAAGTGCTATTTGGAATCTTCCACGGAGATTTGAAAACCAATTAAAATGGCAGGACTCAATGGAGTAGAAAATTCCACGTTTATACGGAAGTTGGAGTTTGGAAATGGAATGTCAGCTCTTATAATACCCAGTTTACATGACTGGAATCAGGCCTCGAAATTAACTTTTCTTCCTACTGTCCCTGCACTGTCCTTGGTGCTGAATTCATGGTGCAGCAATGTTATTTCATGTTATTGAGACAACTGAAACATTGTAAATTATATATTTATATAGGAAGGGCATTTGGATACCCTGGGATGGCCTTGACATGGATGAATGAATGAATGAATTATTGAATGAATGAATGGATGGATGGATGAATGAATGAATATATGAATGTATGAAATCAATGAATGAATGAAGGTATTTTAGCATATTCTACACTGTTGTCTCTGTATATTGAATGTCTCCATCATTTGACATCTGGACTTGAATTGTTAAATCTGTGTTGGGTGGATGCCTGCAGTTCTTCCACTAGCTGCAAGGGGGCATGACATGACCATGTCCTGTAAACTTGTTCTGCCTCTGAGCCAGGTTACTCTCCATGCGTGTGATTGGTCAGTTGGAGCGAAAGACATGATATCGATCAACTCTGTCCATCACCAAGG